AAGTTCACCTATGGGGAGATTTCCCTCTTGCAATGTTTGAAAAGAGACTTACCTCACTTCACGGCCTACTTTCCGGTCCAAGCTTAAGCCCAAACCCTCAATTTGGTGACAAACACTCTAAAACTATCCAAATAGCATAGAAACTAATCAATATAGGCTTAAAAGTTCATATCCCAACCATAGGGTGATTCCTCAATCCAAATTACAAGATTCCTAAAATTTGACCCCCGGGCCCACGTGCCCAGATTCCAGAAATTTTAGAAGAAAGTTGTTACCCATAGCCTAAGGATCAAGAATATATAATTTTTACTCCATTCCACAACAAATTTTGTTGTTAAATCTTGTTTTTATCAAAACCCTAGGTTTTTACTCAAATCTCATGATTTTCACTAATTTTTGTGTGTTAATCTACCCCAAACCCAAGTATTAAACTCACATTAAGTAGAAATAACTTACCTCACAATGCTAGGTTGAAATCCCCTCTTTGAAAGCTCCCAAATCGCCCAAGTGTAGAAGTGAAATGAAATAAATGGCCTAAGTCCCGTTTTTAGAAGCTGTGTCCAGGCTTCTGATGTCACATTTGCGACATCAGGCTCGCAAACGCGAAGTCGCAATTGCGACAAAATGTTCGCAAATGCGAACTGGCCCTCCCTCTGCCTTGATCGCAAATACGATAGAGGGGTCGCAAATGCGGACCTTGCTGGGTTCGTAAATGCGAAGAGAACGTCGCAAATGCGACCACTGCCCCCAGCCAGGCTCCATCGTAAATGCGATGCTTTCCTCGCAAATGCGAACATTTCCTCACATTTGCGAGAACTGTAACCTTGCCCAGAAATACCAGAAAACTGGGGTGTTTTTCACCCCCAACTCACGGCTGAAACTCACCCGAGCCCTCGGGGCTCCACTCCGACTACTCACACAAATCCAAAAATATTGTACAAACTTTCTTGAGCGATCAAATTGCTGAGATAACATCTAAAACCATGGATTTAATACCAAAACGCATGAAATCCTTAAGAACTTTTAAAATTCCTATTTTTACAACCAGGCGTCTGAATCACGTCAAATCAGTCTCATTTCTTGCCAAATTTCAAAGACAAGACTTAACTATTATATTGGACTTGTACCGGGCTCCAGAACCAACATACGGGCCCGATACCAACATGATCAAACATTATTCAATTTCTTTAAATCCTTAGAATTTCAATTTAATAATTTTTAACAAAAAATTCATTACTCGGGCTAGGGACCGGGCATACTCCTAGGTCTCATATTTTACTAAGGACCCTCCGGGACCGTCAAAACACAAGTCCGGGTCCGTTTACTAAAAACGTTGACCAAAGTCAAACTTGGTCTTTTAAGCAAATCTTAAGGAATTAAGCGTTCCGATTTCAATCCAAACTCTTCTAAATCCCGAACCAACCATCCCTACAAGTTGTAAATCAGTTAAAGCAAGTACAGGAAGTCTTATTTAGGGGAATGGGGTTCTAGAAAGCAAAACGACCAGTCGGATCGTTACAACGCCAACAATCCCATCCGAAAAAAGTTCAATTCCCCATTATTATTGGACATATAAATTCGGGCCTTACCCTATAAATACCCCTAAAAGTTAGTTTTTGAAGGGTTAGACATTAGTAGAAAGGAAAGAGACTATGGAATACTTTGGAAGCACGAATCACTCGAGTTTTCTCTCCGCTTTCCTTTAATTTGTAGTGTAATGCTTCTATATATTACTATGATTATTTACGTAGTTATGAGTAGCTAAACCCGTCATCTAGGGTTGATGGAACCAATTGTTGGATGAAGTCTTGATTGTGTTTTGATATAATTGGGCTATTATTACTCTTTAATTATTCAACTATATGTTTCTTGTGATTAATTGAAGGGCCCTTGAGTAATCGTGTCTAGTTATCTTAAGTTGCTTGAGAAAGATCACTTGATTTAGATTGTTGTTGAACAACGCCACTTTCGAGTAAGTTAAGAGATTAATTACTTGAATTTAAAAGTGAGATTAGAGATAACGAAGCTTTGGCGTGATATTTATGAGTTGTACAAATTGTCAACAAGAGTAGTTCGAGAGAATACTTCTAATAAATTATCGAAATTGATCGAGAGATAATTACGGTAAATAAGAACTCATCATCTTTAGAGAGTGTTACGACAAGATTATAGCTAACGTATCAAGAATTAATCTGACAATTGGTGAAATCATAAACCCTAGATCCTTTTATCCTTGAATTCAACTCCATTCTCGCTAATTGATAGTTTTTATTTGTCATTTGTAATTTCTGTTAATTCACAAATCAATTCTTGACTTCTGAAAGTTGTCTAAGCTTATCATTAGCGATACTAAAAAGTTGTAGCAAATAGGTTAGTTCCTTGTGGGATTCGATTCCAGATTATTGAACCGTATTATTTTTGCAGTGACCGCTTAGTCCTTTTTATATAACATAGTTGGGTGTGATCAAAAATCAAGAGTTTGAAATATATGATTCAAACAAGACACGTCGCATGTTCGTCACAACTACCACCAACCGTTATTATCCGCTCATTGAATTCGCCCATTTAGACAACCTCAACAAGCAGAGAGACTAATTGTATGGGCTAAAAAACTTCATGATTATATGTGAGCCTAATTGATATTAAGAATACCTTCGAAGGTCGCACGTGCCACTAGGTTAATTTCAAAGAAGGGCGAAAGCGAGGTCAAGGACCGAACGAAGGTCGAGGACGAATAGGACGATTACTCCCTTTAGCAGAGCAGCAACGTCTAGTTTTAGAAATAAGACTTCAAAGAGAATATTTCAATGAATATTCCTCTGATCTGTCTTATTAGGGGTTTTGTGACTCATGTGCCCTTATAGATAGAAAGATATGTAGATATAGAAGGAGATTGGACACTCATTGTAAAAGACTACACATTCGCATTCTCTGAAGATTCTTGCTTTACTATACACATACAAAATAGACCTTTTCTTCATATCTTTATCTAACTTTTCTCCCTTGGTCCAAGGAGAATTCCAATATTCAAAGGCTTATCAATCATTTATCATTGTCATAGAGAATATCAAATAATCTCATCCCTTCTCGGTTGACTCACTTACATTTATTTATATAAATGTCATTATTTATCATTTACTACTATTTAATGCTATCCTCTTTGCTCTTGGGCCGCTGAATCTCACTTTACAATTGCCATTTATTGTTATTTGAATAGTACTCGTGACATCTTGCTATGAAATTAATTAAATAATCTTTTGAATATTAATATTGGCTAAGATTAACTTTATTCTATTAGAAAATCTAATTGTTTAAACCTCGAACTAGATCTTTGGTCAAACAGAGGTGTTTGTTATTTTTATATACGGTTCAATTGGAAAAATATTTAGTCGATTTGATCAACTTTCGGCTTCCGCTCGAATTATTTGTTTTTTGATTTATTCAGAAAAATAAATAGAAAAAATACTACTAATTATGACAAATTGGCACAATGAGGGTTTTTATTCTGATGGGAGAGACGATATATATATATATATATATATATATATATATATATATATATATATATATATATATATACAC